TAACAGATTCTGACCCAAAGTTGCTCTTTGCTAATTTCTCCCATTTTAACCACTATTTGGCCTCAGCAACACGCCAAGGATACTCGCTGTTCCTCAGACAAGTGATGCTACCCCTTACGATTGTGACCTGCTAACGCATGAGCCACTTGCTCAGCAGGCAGTGATTTACAAATATGGAGTGCTATGGGTGCAGCATTTCCAGCAATCCCAGAAAAGGCCATAGTCCTTTTGCTCCCAACTAGAATAACTGGGGATCATGAAAAACACATTTATTTGCTACCAGGATAATCACCATGGTAACTGGCTTCCAGGAAAATAACAGCCAACAACTTCAGGACAAAGGCCACTGTGGGACTTGTTAAGGATAGCTCACATAGGCCCAAACAATACTGAAATTTGCCAAACTGAAGAAACTGCACATAGACACCTGCAAACTTGCTGTCATAACCCATCACACCAGCTGAATCAATGGCACTTCCATCCATCTTAACACTGCTTGTTGCCTTTTTTTCCCTTTAATGTTCTTTTAAGTTTTCAGACACCCCGTAGGACAGTTTTAAGGCAATATTCTCTAATGAACACAATTTCACCTTTCGGACCATTTCTTTATATCAAAAGAAAACTTTATCTTACACTCAAAATCTTTGTCACTTCACACATTAGTATTCACTTTCAGTTACATGAGTTTGAATAATGAAACTGCAACACTTAAGTTATGTTTTTCATGAAACTGAATGTTTTGCAAAGGTAGGTCAACCTCCTCTTACAGTTAAGGAAATAAAGATTAATACTCTGCATGGAATACACACTCAGGGAGACACTGAATCTATGCATTCTTACAGGTTTTCAGGGATGCGGCAGGGATTGCTCTATTTTAACAGAACAGCAGTTTTTTTGGGAAATGTGCACCAATTTTAATTGACGGGATTACAGAGATTGTAGCTTATTTACGTACAAGTAAAAAAACGCGCCAAAAGGGGTTACACAATCCATGTCCTTGGTACACCGTGTAAAGGACCACTAAGGTGGCAACGGGCAGCTCAGCAAACCAGTCCTGGTGTGTTTCTACAGTTTCCACAAAAGCAGCTCACAGGAAACAAAACCACTTCTCTCCCCAGTGCTATTTTAGCACACGGCCACAGCCAAATAATACTGCCCAGGTACACTGAGAAACACATTTAAAGTGTGCTGCACCAAGTTTTGCCCATTCGTAACAGAGAATCTCATTAAACTGCCAGCCCTTGGCTCCAGCTCTGCTTGCAGGGGAATGATGGAGAAATTCCTTCAGCAAAGGTAAGGATCGATTCCCTTTCCACTCACAGCACTTCACTGCCAATCACAGCCCGTTCTGCCTTCCTGTTACAGGAACAACACCATCAGGATGTTTTAAGCCAGACAAGTCAGATCTGCGTCCCTTCCAGTATCGTCTCAGCCTGAGTCACTGGAGCTTTTATCAACAAAGCTTAGAAAAGTGTGTTTTCTGCTAAATACATCCTATACAGCAATGTGGCATGCTGAATGATTCAGTCAGGTAGCTACTTTCAGCACAATAATTTTCCTTTTTAAACAAAGCCCACTAATGAATAATGTCTCTTCTGGAAAACAGAATGAATGTGCGTTTGGTTCCCTTTCACTGTAACCCACCATTAACTGACCAGACCACCACTGCCCTGGACTGTTGGCATCTACATCATGGGAGAGAGAACCATGTCCAAGTACCTTACAGGAACAGACGTTATCAGTGCACGCTGGCCTCTCCTAAACTCATTCAGAGGAAGTTAGCCAACTTCCTCATTCCAGGTTTAGAATTCGATATGTACAGACAGACAAAAGCCTCCAGGCAAAAACAGCCGTGCAAGCTGGTGACTTTCTGTGCTCTCGAACAGCCAACCATCCTCTGTCACCCGGGTGGGACAAACCTGCACAGTGACAAGGCAAAGCCCACCCAGCTCTGCTATTCTTGTCCATCACAGACACACTGTCCTATGAGACTGCTGCTTTCTGTCAGCAGATAGCACTGCACTAGCAGCTGTGCCCAGGAAGGCAAGCAAAACCTCCTTCTTTCTTAACCTTCATTCCAGATCCTTCCCAATTGGATGCAGGTACATTGTAACTTTATGTGAGCACTTTATCTAACTAAACAGAGCAACCACTGTGACCTCCCAGTGCATTTCAGTGGCTACTAAATGTCAGTCACACCTTTTGAAGGAGAAAATGTCTGCAGACCCTGGTAGGACTTAGGAACTGAATGGGTGAGCAGTAAAGGCTCAGGTCTTACAACCAAGCTTTTCTCAAGAGAATCTTTTGAACACTCTCACAGCAGGTTCAAACAAGGTCACTCTCCATACAATGCCAGCTGGGTACTGATGTGCTCCTACAGCCTTGCTGTGCGTATGTATATTCTATTGCTAAAGCCATGCATAAGGGTGCACACCAACCTGAATCTAGAAAATGTACACCTAGAGTCCCCCTTGCCCTAATCAGATGGCCTTTCTTCCCATGTATTCTAAGTTATAGCAGCCATACATACCTCAAAATTGCTCAACGTAGCTCGCCTCTTTGCATAGATATGCTCACAGTTGTAATCCAAATGTCTTCAACAGAGGTCTAACTTTAAAAAAGTTTAGAAGTGTAAATTCCACAGGAAACAGGAAAGTCGAAGAGAGAAGGAGACACAATTTATTAGCTTCTACATTTGCAGACATCTGCAGTCAGTACTGTAGGTCATTTTCAGAGTAAATCTTGGCAACAAAGCTTCTTTGTAGAGGAGAAAGACCTGCCAAAATTAACAAGTGTAGTAAGAAACATCATTAATACCTGATAAACAACAAAATAGCACAAAGATTTAGTCCCCTTCAGAGAAAATAATTAACTAATTTGAAATACTGTTTCTGCTAGCTTTGATGCATTTAAAATCAGAAGCAGCCTCTGAAGTTACCTCATATTCCAAGTACTTTAACACAATAAATTAACTCAAGGACCGAAATTCTCTACGCATTTAAATAATATTTGATCATATCAGAGTATGCAATGCTACACCACAACAGGGAGTGCCTTGTTTCAGACAAACCTTCACAGCTCACCAAATGCCTTGATGTTCACCACATATTTTCACACAAGAGTGGTTGTGTGACCAGTCTTAGAATAAAGAATTAAGCTGCTGTCCAAAACGAGGACTCACACAGTTCTGATGGAAGCCCCAATGCAGTAAGTACAGAAGGTACATACCTGGGGAGTTCCTGCACAGCATAAATGTTCAGGAGTGATGGCAAACTTCTGAACTTTTCTGGTTTGGATTTAAGTTAATAAAATGTAAACTCTTTTGGAGCAGAGACCTTCTAGTCTCTGTTTGCATTTCACATGGTATATCCGATCTAGCTTCCAAATTAGAGCTGATCAATGTTATTGTGATACAACTGGTTTTTATTTTTGATACAACAGTAGGATTCTTTTTTATAAATAAGGTCAGCTAGATCTGCATTATCATTAAATGCTTCTGAAAGTATGAAGACATTTCATTTTGCAAAAAGACATTTAACTCCACACAATTGCTTGTTTCCTTCTTTCCTTTTTCCTTAACATGCTCGGCTGGAAGAACAATTTTAAGAATTTGGAGCTTAAATTCAAACTTAAAGAATCAGCTCACTGTGCTGTGACAATATCCAGGATTTCGACTATTGAGGGGGGTTAAGAATTTTAAGTATTTAAACATAGCAGAATACTCAGTTTCCAGTAGTGCAGACAGCACCTTCACATTCCAGTTCATCTCCCATCTTCGCTCTTCACGAAGATGCCTGTTTTTCCACTAGGAAACATTGTGCTGAGTTCACAGACCTGCCGAGGGTGGAAAGGACCTCTGGATGTCACCTGGGCCACTCAAGGCTTGTTGCCTACAAACCACTTTAACAAGTCTCACTGTTGAGACTCTGCCCCAGAGAGGTTACACAAGTCCCTGTGAGCTCCAACCCTCCTGGAGAGCACACAACCTTCCCCACAGCAACCAGCTCTCATCAGGCAGAGGGAGAACCACTTGCCATGTTTCAGAGGTGAGGAGACTCGGGGGCTGTAAAGGGGTAGCCACTCGGCCAGCTCATCTCAGCAATAGCTTACACTTGGTGAATCCAGGTCTCAAAGCCCAGCTCCTACCAGCAGGCGACAGCTATGGAGCTGACTGAGAACACACCACACCAGGGAACTGCACTCCCCAGCAGAGAGAAGAGACTCCTCCCCGAGAGCTCTAAGCAAATATTCCTAGAAACCCAGCCCAAGATGTTATCAAACCATCTGTTTTTGAATGGTTGACAAACAATTCTCTGAAAGACCAGACAAGACACTAAGGAGGTTTGCCTGCCTGCAGCACAGTCCCAGCCAGGAACAGGCAAATCCCCGAAGCAGAAGAGGAGCTGCCTTGCTAGATACAACCCTTTTCCTACAGAAAGCATCTCTCTAAACACACAGAAACAAAACCTGCAGTCCTCCAATGATTTCTCTTTTGTATCTGAGTTAGATGCAGGTTTTAAGTATTGGAATTTTAGCTATGATTAAATAAGATGCAAGAGAGCCCAAACCATGGCAATAGAACTGCTTTAAAAAAAAAAACTCAGCAACTTTTATGTGGTAGATGGACAGGGAGAACTCCCAAACTTTATAGAACCTGAAGTTTCAATTTCTTTCTAATGCAAAATGCCCACAAAGCAGATCTTCCTCCATCTCCAGTTTGCTTCCATATTTTGGATCTTCCAGATTGGCTAGGTGGGTTTATCCAGCAGCTGAACTGGACACAGTGGATACAAAGCTCCAATAAACTTGTCCATTTGATGCAGGAACCCAGTGAGGTTGTGAACTGCTGAGCAGCACAAGTCCTGCAAGCTGGAGAATCCCACTGTCCCCAGACAAGAAAGGGGAGAGTCCCCTAGCACCAAGACAGGAATAGTCTTCCTGGTGAGTACACTGGGCTTTCCTTGCCTCCAGACACTTCCCGATGGACAAAGAACCTACCCTAGGAGGAGGATCACCCTGTGACCAAACGTGGAGTCACCTGCCATATGCTAACCTTGTGTAAGACAGGACTGGCAGTGAGCAGCAGGGACAGCAGTGCTCGCTCCCCAGGATCAGGAGAACCCTGTGGCACTGGCTCAGGTCAAGGCATCACTACTTCAGTGGCCACACCTATAGCCTAGATTGTTACTAAGGGCTTCCACCTCGCAGAAACACGTGATTTTAAGGTTTGTGGATGATGGACACTGTTTCTGATGCTAGTTACCTTCTGATGGAAGTTAATTACCCTCCTCCTCCTCTAGGTTTCCACTCAAATCTTTATACCTTCAGTTCACAGCTTTACACCTTCTGCCCACCAAGAAGCCTCCTTAAGTACAATTCCTGATAGAGTCTTGTTGTGAAAGCAATGCCTCAACCCGCCATACAAGCTTCATACATCAGGTGCTTCTGTACCACTGGTGGCAGCAGCTGCACACACAGGTCACACACATACTGTCAACTCCTAGTCTCTGACTTACGGTACTTGGAAAGCTCTGAAGCTGCTGCTTTACATCTTAAGTTCTTTACTTTAGGGGCCTGTTCCCGACAACTTGCTTTTAAACTGGCAAAATCTGAGCTCACCATGAAATAATTCGTGTCTTAACGATCTCATCAAAGACAGCCAAGGCGGGCAGGAATCGGTGAACAAACGCCTCAGCCACCGCCAAACCAGCGCGGGCGTCGCGGTGGCGCCTCCCGAATCAACAGCACCGGCCACACGCGCGCCGGGCCGCCCCGGGAGAGGCCGGGGGATCGAAGGGATCGGGGAGATCCCGCAGGCCGCGGGGATGGTGGAAGGTGTCAGGGGGCCGCTCGTCGCCGCCGGGCCGGGCAGTGCCTCCGCATAGGCCAGGCCAGGCCAGGTCAGCGCGGCCCCGCTGCTCCCGCCCCCCGGGCCCTGCCCCCCGGGCCGAGGCCTCTAACCGGTCGCAGGACGGCGGCGCGGGCAGAGCGCGGCCAAGCGCCGGATCTGAGGGCGGGGGAGGCTCCCGCGATGGGCGCAGCTAGAGCCAGGCCCGGCGGGGTCCCCTCGCCCCGTCCCGAGCACCCGGGCGCACCCCCGCCCCGCTCCCGGCCCCGCTCCGGCCCCGCTCCGGCCCCGCTCCCGCTCCGGCCCCGCTCCCGTTCCCGGTGTGCCGGTCACTCACCGGCCGAGCGGCGGCCGCTCCATCCCCGCGCGCCGCCACCGCCCGGCCCGGCCGCGCGACGTCGCGCGAGGGGCGGGGCCGGGCGCGCGCAGTGGCGTCACCGCGGGGGCGGGGCTTGCGGGGGGCACGCCTGGGTCGCGTTGGCGCGCCTGCGTGTCCCGCTCCGTGCCCGGGCCCGGCTCCCTTCCCTTCCCTTCCCTTCCCGCCGCGTCTGTGCCCGGGGGCCAGCCCCGACCGGGGCCTGCCCGCGGCTCTCGCTCCCTGTGCTGCGGCCTCGGCGGGCTGCTCGCACCTCCAGAAATCTTTCCTCCCGATTCCCCTGTTCGTCTCCCGCAGTCCCTTCCCGCCGGGCCCGGCCCCGGAGGCACAGCTGAGCCCCCTTGTGTGGCTGCTCGTCTTAAGCCCCCACACCCCAGCACTGGTGTGTGTCACCCTCACAGAGGTGTGTCACAGCCCTGAAGAAAGGGCTCTCTCTGGTGGTGGCACCACTGAGGGGCTCTGAGAAGGATTCAGCGACGGCACTAAGTTGCAAACTGTGCTTTCCAGTTTGCCGTAAGGAATTGGCACCGGGGTTGTGGTGCTGTGTGTGTTTCAGAAGCTCCTTGACCAGCTGCCTCTGCCTCCCACCCGCGTTTCTGCGGAGCAGTGTCAGGTGTGTGCTCTGCAGAGACACCGCTCACCTCGTCTCCGACGGCTCATCAGCCACCAGAACCGTCCCTTTGTCGCAGCAGTGTCACCTGAGGTGACATGCTTGGGTATTTTTAGAAGGCTGCACCCTTTCTGTAAGCTGATTCAATGAGAAATTTACCTTGATCTGTATTTGTCTGATGCAATTAATACATTGTTGGATCAAGGGTTGGACTGGATCTTGGAGATGTCTTCCAACCTGGTTGATTCTATGATGCTATGATTTGGCTGCAAAAAGTTGGAACTTACACAACTTGACTTTTATTTCAAACCAGTGCTCATTACTTTTTGCATTTTTTCACATAAAGCTCAAGAATTAATTACAACAGCCAATGCCTTCCAAGCACCTTCCTCCTGGCAGTGTCACTCATGGGGCAGGTGTAAAGCTCCAGCCTCGGGAGCTGCCAGCTCATAGGATTGGCTATGAGTTTTACTTTAGATATAGGGTTCTTTGATACCTCAAAAGAGCGTCGAGAAAATAAGCCACGGGCTTGTTCCCACGGAATTTCTTTATTAATTTAGGGGAGTAAATAAGGGAACTTGGCCAAAATTTAAAAACTACACAAGCTAGACAAAAATGTTCCACTACAATATTGATTCAACATATATTATTAATCCACAACCCTTAAGTAAAAATCTAGTAAACCAACAACGCTTAGGGGAAAATCCAACGAATTCCACAATGCTTAAATCAAGATCCAATCCCTCCAGCCCCAAATCACCCCAAGCATCAAGAGAGGAGCAGAGACAGAGAAGCAGAGGGATCAAGAAGAGAGAAGGAGAAAGGGAGAGGCAGATTATATAGCTACCACCAAAGGCTTGTAGAAGACCAGCTCTCAAATTCAGTGGCAGGGCCACGACATGAGGCAAACACATGCCCTTGGTTTTATTCTCTGGTCCCTATAGCAAACCCCCCACAGATGGGGCCTCTGACCCACTGTCTACTCTGGGGTTCCAGGTCAGGGTGAGGGGCAGTGTCCTCACTGTCCCTGCCAATCTGAGCTGGGTGAGGGGCTCCAGGAGGTGTGGGGTGTTAGAGTTTTCCCAGGCTGTTTATGACTGACAGCTACTCCAGGGCTTCCTCATGTGGGCTCCAGAGGCTGCCATGAGGGATACGATGTCACCCCACCTCTGGGAGGTTCAACCCATCCCTTCTTCCTCCACACACATACCTCCTACAAGCTGGCTCTGACCCAATAATAACTAATCTGGTGTCTAACACCAGGTGCCAGAGCTTCTCTTCTCATATGTAGTCGCCAGTCAGTGGGACTGGATGTAAATGCCAGCCACACTTCCTTAGGTGCAGCCTGTAAGCTCCATACTTCGATCTGCCCCCTGAAGGGCTGCCCTGCTCACACAAGATGACTAATACAGAATTTTTTGTGGAGAGAATCAATTTTTTTCTAGTAAGGGCAAAAGAAGTTTCTTATTGTGAGGGTGGGGAGGCCCTGGCACAGATTACCCAGAAAAACTGTGGCTGTCCCGTCCCTGGAAGGTGTGGAAGGTGTCCCTGTCCATGGCAGCGGGTGAGACTGGATAATATTTCAGATCCCTTCCCACCCAAACCATTTTGTGGTTTTATGAAGTCTGATTGTAGAATTTGCTGTAACCCTCTACTGAATCATGAGCATGAACACTTTGCCATCCTTATGGACTGAGATCTAAAGTTCTAGAAGATGTGTTCACACTCTGTCATCTCTCATATCACATGCCTGTCATGCTTTAGTGCTACAGCAGGTATGTAATGAAGTAATGCATACTGAAAGACAGGAGAATAATTTTAAAGCTGTTCAGGTTAAGTAAGTTATCGCTCTCTGACAAATTCTAGTCATACTAGCAATTGCCCAAGAGCAGGAAGAAACTGTATACATCAATTGAAAATAACAAAGCAGAACATTAAACCTGCTCAAGAACACTGAGAACAATGGCAGCTGCTTTGGCCTATCTTTTAACCCTCACTGGTATGCTCTAACCAAAATGTCAGCAGGCAGAACAACATTGCTTTTGCTGTCACAGCAGGAATAACACATTCTGAGCTGCAAAGCTCACAGTTAAAAAAAGGAGGAAGGGGAAAAAGGAGTCAGCCTGCAGAGCTTCTCTGAAAACAGACCATCACCTGGGAGGTCCAGAGAGCAGAACAGGGGTCAGAAGTTTGCTAAAAAGATCCTTGAATATTAACCAAGATCAAGGTGATCTTTGAATATTAACCAGCTTTCTTGGGCCCCATTTCCCTCCAGGACCAACACAATGGAGTAATTTTTATTAAAACTTCCAAATCCCAAAGAGCTAGAATGATTTTAGGGCCAAGAATCAGCAGGAAGTGCCTCAGTGGGACTCCATTCATGCTATATCCAGAAGTCCAAGAGTAGTAACAGTGTTTTGCTTTGAAATTCTCCAGGTACATGTACAAACAACTCACAGCACCCCAGACCAGAGACTGTTGTAATGCTGATAGGCAGCAGAGCTGGGCCATGTTGCTGTAGCAGGGAGCTGGCTGATATGTTTCAGCAGAGTTCAAATCAAGCTCCAAGTACCACCACATTTCAGTGTTTCCAGCTGAGCTGAGTGTTGCATCCCATACCCATCAGTGAAACAGGCCAGTTACAGATTGCAGTGAGAGTGACATGTGCCAAGCTCGAAGATTAGCAAAAGAGTAGGGGAGAGTGGCAACATCGGCCGTGTTCAGTGCAGAGCAACAAGGTCCTCTCACTGTGCTGTGAGCAAACAGACTTCGTACCAACCGTCAGCCAGCACCTGGCTTCCAGAGGTCCTGAAGGCAGCAGATACCTTCAGCTGCAGCAAACATTTTCTCTATGTACTTGGTCACTTTTGTTTTTCACAGCTCACAAAGTAAAGCACAGCCTCCCAAGGAGCAGGGAAAACCCACCTCCCACTGCCAAACACTCTTGGCTCTGACCTTTGTGTCAAAGGAGCAGGAAAGGGCAGTGATACCAAGGTTGGCTCTGAATGGTTACTAAAGCATGAAGTGTCCTTAAAAGGTACAACCCATCCAGTTCCAGCATAGCAGAGACATTTACTCCAGCCTGGGCTTTCTCAGAGGAAGAGCATATCCCTAGCTGAGTATTAAAGGGGCTGTAATTTGATTTTCTGGCTCCTGTGACTAAATTGCCGCAGCTTTTGTCCCTTGTGATCCAGAAATCCTAGGGAGCCTTCAATGGAATTACAGCTTGTTATAACTTGAATAGATAACTTTATAGATAATGGTGTAATGCAATAATATGATGAAAAATGTACTCCCATTTGCAAAATGCTCTGTCTCCTGTGTTTCAATACAGCCAAAGAAGTTAATAAAGGAAAGGCAATTAAGGCAAATATAAAAAAAAAAAATTGACTCTTTTTCATGTGGCATTTCTAGGCAAGTCAGCTTCATATCACTGCTCTTGAGCTAGATAAATATGATCAAACCCCACTTCAGATGGAGGTGCTATATTAAAAACACCTTTTTGAAGTCTCCAGGTATAGGGAGCCTGAGGCTTAGAGGGCAGGGGCCCAGGCTAGCAAAATGCTCAGCATCAGCAGGGAACATACCTGGGCCCCACAGCTGATCTTCACAACACCTTGCTGTGTACACCTGCAGGTGTCCTTGTTCTGTGATTGGACTGCCGTGGATTCCCAGCACTCTGCAGAGCACTAGAATGAAACCCTGAACAGCTCTTCCCCTTGGTGAGGCACAGCGGCTGCAAGGAGTGCGAGAGTAAGCCGACTGTAATCTCCTTTTACCCAGCAGTGCCAGCTCCTCATAGCACCTGGGCTCCCTCGGTCTCACCTGGCTGGCCCGGCCCCGGGCCCGTACCGCGCCGAGCCGCGGCCAGCCTGGGCTCACCGGCCAACGGGCACCCCCAGCAGCGGGTGGGCACCCCACGGCGAGCGGACACCCACACCTTGCACTGCGTGCACCCCGGCAGATGCCGAGCAATTAGAGCCGAGGCCACGCGTGTCCCACACCTGTCGGCTCCGCTCCGGGGCCGAACCCAGGCCAGGGCCGAACCCGGCCAGGGCTGAACCCAGGCCAGGGCCGAACCCAGGCCAGGGCTGGGCAGGGGACACACCGGGCGGCACCGCCCGCACGGCCGCCGGCAGGGGGCGCCAGCGCCCCGGCCGGGAGCGGAGCTGGGACCCGCCCCTGAGGGTGGGCGGGGCCGGCACCGGGACCGACAACGGGACCGGGACCGGCACCTGGACCGGCACCGACACCGCGACCGGGACCGGCACGAGACTGGGACCGGCACCAACACCGGGACCGACACCGAGACCGGCACCGACACCGAGACTGGGATCAGCACCGGCACCAAGCGGGGACCGGCACCAGGACCGGGCACGGACCGAGCAGGGAGTGAGATGCAG